AAACTGTGGGTTACGTTGCAATTGCCTTCTTCACTGCTGACAAATTGTCACTCGATTCGCTTTTTGTTCATCGGTCATCACTTTTGGAATCCATCTTGCCGCGATCTTCCGGTACTCTAAATATTCATGAATAATTTTTTGAGTGGTACCGTAAGACAAATTAACATTGTCAGAAATTCGTTTTATGCCAATCCGGCGATCATTTTGTATCAAGTCGTTAATTTCTGCAATTTTTGTGTCATTTCTCGCAGTTTGTGGTCGACCGGGACGAGGTTCATCTTCAACTGATTTACCATCGTCTTTAAACTTTTTATGCCACTTAAACACTCTACATCGTGATAAACTATTATCTAGATATGCACCTTTAATCATTTCAAAAGTTTCAGTTGGTGTTTTACCCAATCGAACACAAAATTTTATCGCGTATCTTTGCTCCACTTTCATTTTTCGATGGGTACGAAAAACACTGACAATTCAATAATTAATTTGTAACAAATGTCAAAAGTTAAATCAAAGCCTACTTGCGGGGTAGTACATTAAATATAAGGCTTTCATGTTTCATTTTTTGGGTTATAAAATGTTACCTCTGAAAGAAGTTATAGCACCAGTCTCGTTATATACTGATATATCCTCGTAAATCAACAGGAAAGCTACCTATACATTGCCGAATGGGGCCAAGTACCATCCTCACAAGCAATGAAGAAACTCTTGTCGAACAGTGGATACTTTCTTTAGCAAAAGTGCACCATCCAGTAGGCAAAGAGCAATTACTAGACAGTGTCCAGTTTATCGTTAAAGAAAGTAAACGACCAAACCCTTTCACTAATTCGAGACCAGGTCGAAAATGGTACGAGTTGTTTTTGAAAAAGCATCCAAATTTAAGCAAAAGGGTTGAACAAAATTTAACACCAGCCCGCGAAAAAGTTACTGAACAACAATTGCGACAATGGTTTCGGGAAGTGAAAGAATACTTGCAGTCAAAAAATTTATTTGTCGCAACGGAGGATCCTTCCAGAGTATTCAACTCTGATGAGAGTGCTTTTTTTCTTCAACCAAAAGTCCTTGCACGAAAAGGGGATAAAAGCGTGTACAATGCTGGAACCAATGACGAAAAAGAAAATTTAACTGTATTAGTCACCGCCAATGCCGCTGGGACACTAGCTCCTCCCATGGTGGTGTTTAAATATGAACGCATTCCAAGTCATGTAGCTGTCAGTATCAATAAAAGTTGGGGAATAGGCCGTTCCGAAAGTGGATGGATGTGTGGAGCAACTTTTTTTGAATACATAACAAATGTGTTTGTACCATGGCTAGTTGAGAAAAAAATTGAGAGACCTATTATTATGTTTATTGACGGTAATGTGTCGCACATGATATTACACCTATTAAAGATTTGTTCGAAAAACGGAATAAAACTTTTTGCATTGTATCCAAACTCTACACATTTAATTCAACCTATGGATGTGGCTGTATTTAAGCCGCTAAAACAATTTTGGAAAAAATATGTAAGAGATTGGCACATCGAAAATGACGGAAAAATATTGCGAAAATAAAATTTCGGAAAAGTGTTTGAGGAAGCGTTATCCAAAGTTACAGATAAAACAATTCAACATGGATTTAGGGCATGTGGACTTTCGCCGTTTAATGTAGAAAATGTAAAATTTTCAAAAATTTCAAACTTTTCGACAGAAGTTAATCAAACCAGAATAATAGAAGGGTTGGCAGTTTTGGAAAAATTTATTCCCTCAGAAAAATTTAAAAACTTTCGAACAAATTTTGATACTGCATGGACAGGTAATATGGAAGACGTGTCACTATTTAATGTATGGAACACAATGAAAAAAAAATAAAATAGAATCCGCTTTAGGTGTTGAATCATTAGAAAACATAAATAAAAGTGAGAACCAAAATTGCAACAAGAAAGAAAATGATCTTGTTTGTATTAGACAACTCGAGGCCAGGCCAGGACCTTCTGGCATTCAACAACAAAGAGTTGATTCTAATATGACCCCATTAAAAATTGTTATACATTCTGATGTCAATATTACACCTCCTACTGTATCACAAAGTGATAGATCTCCTTTAAATTCATTGGAAAATACAACGCCGTTCAATGTATTATCTTTAAAGAAACAAGTTCCCACTCCATTTTAAAAAGCCTTGTTTTGGCCGGAAGAAGTAAAAAACACAAAAAAAAAGAATAAAGAGCAAATTCCTTGTGCTATTACGTCAGAAATTTGGCAAAAATACCACATAAAAAAGGATTCTGAGAAAAAGAGAAAACAAGAAGAACAACAAAAACGGGCAGAAGAGAGAAAGCGAAAAAGGGAAGAAAAAATTATAAAAATACAAAACAAGGCTAAGTCAGTAAAGAGGGAAAGTTCTGACAATTCATCCAAAAACGAAGAATGGATAAAAACTGGAGACAGTATTGATGATGTCAGTATCAATTTAGATAATGAAGAAGAGAACGAAATACCAATCAAATACGACGATATCCATGTAGGAGATTTTATGTTAGCGAAATTCTTAGGAGGAAAGAGAAAAACTTTTTTATAGGTATATCTGTGTGGTTCAGAAGAAATATTCCCGAAACGATATTGAAGTTATATCCCTTAAATCAACAAATGAAACGAATACCTTCAAACTTGTTGATAGTGATATTTCAACAATCAAGATAGAGGATATCATAAAAAAGTTATCCCAACCGGAACTACACAATGTCGGCGACAGAATAAAATATGTATTTTCAAAAAATATTGATATTTTTGAAGCCTAAAGCACCCATAAATTTTCATTTTTTGTTTTTATTTTTTGTGTTATGAATTTGCGGTTTATTTTTATTTACTTAGTGTATTCAAAATTAAAAGTATAATAAAAAATGTTCCTTAATTTGTGTCAATAATTAGTGTGTCAATTACTGGTACATGAAAAAATCAAGTATCAATGACTGGTAGGTACTTCAAAACACTTTTTTTATAATATTTATTTCATGAAAAGCAAAATTATTAGAACTAAAAATACATAACTAATGAACTCAAGAAACTATAAGCTACAAGAAAAAATCGTATTATATGCTTAAATTTTTTTGTTATTGGTGAAAATAATTAATTAATACAAATCAGCGTCTAATAGTGTCAATTATTGGTGCAGTTACCTTAGCACCAGGAATAAAGATGAACTTGTTCCCCTGTTTGCACATCTAAATATTTGTGCTATATCACCAACAATACTTGGAACAAAATTATTCAATAAACTGCCACATAAAAAATGCACCAAAATTAAAAACATTCAATTATCTAATAAAACAACAGCTTTTAGAAATATGTCCATACTCAGTACAAGAATATCTTCAATATAAATTTGTAACACATGCTTCACCACCAAACTATTCTGGATAATAAATTTATACAGTGAGCACCATAAGTCTTACCCCCCCTATCTAACTCGTTACTGGAGTCTTGTTAGGAAAATCGCCGAGACAGGTCAATTTTTGATTTCTACAATGTACATTTTTGTATGAATAGTTTACCCTTAATTTCATCCCTTACTGGAGGGGAGCAACCCTTTCGAAAAATTTAAATGGCATGGGGTGGTGAGTGATAGCTCATTTGAAAGAGGGTTTTATTCTCTATTCAACCGTGTAAAAAAATTTGAAATTTGCTTCATTAATTCTTGACTAATTGTTGTTTCAGAATAACGGAAATTAACGTAGCGCACTCGTCCTTAGAATTAAAATTCGGCCCTGCATGACTTCGGTTTTGGTTCAGACGTGAAGTAAGACTTTTTGCCATTAGAAGGTCACTGTTGGTCTAGTTGCTTTCCTATTTTGTGAGGTTTTGTTATTTTTAAACATTAATAAATCAACATGTAATGATGCAAATTTCAAAATTTTTTTGCACGGTTGAATAGAGAATAAAACCCCCTTTCAAATGACCTATCACTCACCACCCCATGCCATTTAAATTTTTCGAAAGGGGTTTTACCCTCCAGTAAGGGATGAAATTAAGGGTTAACTAATCATGCAAAAATGTACATTGTAGAAATTAAAAATCGACCTGTCTCGGCGATTTTCCTAACAAGACCCCAGTAACGAGTTAGTTAGGGGGGGTAAGACTTAAGATGCTCACTGTATAAATGTCTATTTTTCGCCTTCAATTTTTTATGTTTGTCTCTTCTATGTTTGTGTGTATTGTATTATTTAATTACTTTTATCTAATGTATACATACGTATCTTTATATTTATAATTATGCCGTGTCCAATAACATTATAATTATTTAAATGGATTAATAAAGAATTGAATTGTTCCTATAGATACATGAAAAAATGTCCTTTTACTTTCCAGTGACCAGTATTAGCGGTCTAATATTAAAACCACAATTTTGAACAAAACACAAAATATACAAGGTATTTCGAAAATAACTGTTTTAATCTATCACAGAAAATATCAAAACAATATTTATTTCGAAACTTTTAATTTAATGTAAATATCTCTTCCAGTTATAATTACTCATTGTTACGCTATATTTAAAATAAAGTAATAGGTATATATGCATTCATAATTATCAGTTTTAACACAAGTAAGAATAGTAATAAGGTATATGAATCATGATTTTTTTTTTCTCTATTTTTTACCACTTCATCACTTTAAAGACCACTGTGAACCTGAAAGTTCAAAAAAAAATCTTGTCTGAGTGTATGTATGTGCACTGACACAATAATTCTAGAATGAAAGGGCCGATCAACTTGCAGATTTGATTTTATTAAATAATTTCTTATAGCTAAGAAACCTATTGGTTGCAGAATTTTCAGTTTAACTTTAGTGCTTTAAATAACAATGTTTTAAAAATGCAATGCATTTCTTACAGGGCTTATTTTGACCATTTTCGCGATGATATCTATCTGTATTCAGGATAACTTAAAAACGGATAAAGAGAAAAACATCACATATTAAAATTAAGCTTTTGCAATATAACAGTAATTTTCTAGCGTCACTCACCGTTAGCTTTATAAGACTCTCTCCACCCTTCTTCCTGCTGCAAAAATTCTGAAAAATGCTCATCCCACGTCAAGACAGGATGTGCAGCAATCCTTAGCAAGAAATTTTCCAATCCAGCCCTCCGTCTATCAACAAAATTAGGATCAAAAGTGTCGTTAGAAATTTTCTGCCAACCATACATCACCCTCTTTTCTGGCAGCGGAGGTATCACTATAAATGGATAAGTCACCTCCAAATAATCATGAAGCTGTTCAAATTCAGTGTATCTTCTCCATACTGTTGTTAGTTTGCCAACTTTCTTTTGAAAATCTGGATCCGTAACCCTAAAAAAATTGATTTTAAGGTCAAAACTAGATATTACTCAAACTGTATGGGTTCCATATTTTATCAAGGACATAGAGATGCTAGAAAGGATACAAAGAAGAGTCACAGACTATACTAGATTTAATAAATTACAACTAAATACTGTAAAAGAAAGACTGCAGGGCCACATAAAGAAACTAAAGAAAAAAAAGGTGCACCAGGTTACAAATAAAACACTTTTTAACAAATAGAGTGATGTATACTTATGGAATGAAGGCAAGAATTGATATGAAACTAAATGAAATAAAATCTAGACTTGTGCACTGTTGTTTATGACAAAACATGTAAAATCAAATCAAATTTCCTGTGATAGATTGTGATAATTAAAATTATGAAAATTGAAATTAATTGTAATAGATATGTCGCTTGCCTTTTTAATGATAATAATATTTAACTAAGTAGGTTTTGAATAAAATTACCTATTTAGCAGCCCAACTGGATACATTTTAACAAAACCTTGTAAGGTGCTAGTTTTTGTGTATACTTGCTGAACTTTACACTTGTAATTAGTAGGTATATAAGTAACGAGCAAAGTTTGTGTAAATTAGTACTTACTTGATTTCTATTAGATACACAGTGTAATAATCCCGTAGATTCAATGATCCTGTTACACGTTTCTCAGACTCTGCTACTGATATTTCCAAATGATTCAAAATCGTGTCACTCGGCACGGTATTGTTGGTGTCTTCTTTACTATTATCAATTTCGCTCATTTTAGTTTTTATTATTATTTGGGATATGAAATCAATTTTAATCCAATAATCATTTTCTTGTTTCTTCACAAAAATAGACAAATCTCACATGCATTTATTTTGCTTGGAAACAATTAAGTTGTTTTTTTACCTTACAGGAATGCTCATGCGAAATTTCAGCCAGCACATAGGTACTCCCATTATTTTTATTAAAATTGTCAATATTTTATTTGCTTTGTGACATTTTATATACAAAATGTCAAAACTTTGTTTTGACATTTACGTCATTTACATCTGAATCTATAAATTAATTCAGCTAGTATCGTATAGATGGCAACTAAGTATTTATTTAAAAATTAAAATAAAAATTTTCCATATCAATAATAAAACAGAAATTTCAAATTTTTCAACTAGCAAAACACCTCTTATATTAAAATTGTCAATACTTGCCTTGTTGTTACATTTTTGAATAAATATTTTGTTATTTAAATCATGGCTCAGTTACAGATTACATTCGATCATGATCAGAATACACATATCTATGGGCTCCAATGGAATAGTTATATAGATTGCTCTATCAATCAGACGATGAAAAAAAATCTGTTTTCATTGGGCGAATTTTTTTCTCTTCCAATATATGCATTATTTATGTTTTGTGGGTCTCGTCGACTTTAGGGTCAGTGAAATTTTAAAGAAATTTATTTTTTATCAGAAAGAGCGTATTTTAAATAGTACATTTAAAAAAAAAATTTGCGGTAAATGCATTATTTAAACCAAAAAAAATTATTTAATTTCTATAAAAATCAGCATTTTGACGACTGTAAACATCGAAACTCAATGGTTTCTGTCAAATTTGGAAAATATAATTGCAACGTTGCCGGATTGTGATAAAATTAGTAGTTAATGGAAAATTGTGATTGCGCATACCGGTCCATAAATATGCAACAAGAAAACGAAGCTTCGCCGCCACCCTACGATAAGTCAGGGTGGCGGCTTCGCCGCCACCAAAAAACATCAACCCATACCTGGCTACGCCGACTGGCATAGACTCCAACGGCCTGGACACAGCTCAAATTGAATAATTGAAATGAAAAGTCTCAAATAAACACATTTATATTTTGGTTTTATCATCTAGCCTGGAGCTATTGAAAAAACAACCACTGTCATTCTTGTTATGTACGTTTTTTTACTATGTTTGACAACACCACATTTATAAAAATAAAAATGTTAGTTGTCATATTATTCATAAACAAAAAATAATATAGAACGGTATTACCATGAATATATTTATTTAGAACAAATAACAAAAAGCAATTGGCAACATCGCTAAAATCACGCACAGGCGCTCTTAGTGTGACTGTCAAATCGAAAAAATTAAAAACAATATGGCTACGTGAGAATGTCGTGAATAAATGCATATTCTTAATTTTTTAACTTACAAATGTGTTTTAATAATATTTGTTGCTTTAATTAGTTTAGTGCACACTTACAGAAGAATAAAAAGTGTAAGAATATTATGGTTTTACTTAATCTTTATTGAAAAAGTGAAAAAATTACTGTCCCTAATAACGACCGTAGCCTGTTTTGTTTCAATTTTAAATACCCAATTGTAAACAAATCATCTACAGAGAACCGGTTTAGAAATTTTTTGTCATTTAGATTTTTACATATTATTATTTAAAAAAACATTTTATAAATAGTAAATTTAATTTTACATACATGTTAATTAAAACTAGTGTAGGCTGTTACCATGAAATTAGAATATCCAGTTTGACAAAAAATATCATGGTTCTATTTATAATAAGTAAACAAGAGAACTTTGTTCTGTAATAAATACTAAATAATATTATATTATATAATATTATATATTATAATAAGACACGTAGTGTTTGAGCTGCATTTTTGCCAGATCGGTGAGCTTTGTTTATAGTCTAACGCATATGATATGAGAGCTGGTCGATTATTAAAATAAATTTATATATTAGTCACTAAAATGTATTATTATCAAAAATAAAATCTTAAATGTTTCATTTTTTTACCACTTAAAAAATGGAAGTGTATATATGGGTATTATGGTATTATCTGGTAGGCTAAATAAATAATGGCCTAAGATGGACGTCCACTGGAAGTTAACATAATACTAAACTTAAAATTAAGTCCAAAAACAGACGTATCGATAAGCGCAGAATAGAATTAATTTATAAGAAGTAGGTATAAAATAATAAGTGCTTTTTTAATTGAGGGAAGACAGAATATTCCAGAACACCCATTGTCTTTAATTACAAGCCGCCACTGGCTCAAAATACCTAATTAGTAAGCGTCGAAGTTCGTAATTAAAAATATGATTTTACTATTAATTGGAATTTTGGCGTTTTATACTGTAACTTGACAAACCGGGCCCTAACCTAGTTTTCCAAATACCCTTAACGTTGGCCTAAATTTCGTCTAGTGGATCCCCACGAAGTGACGTTAAAACCCCCCAGAATTACGTTTAGAGTTCAATGTAGCTGTAATGGAGGAAGAACAAAGGAAACACCGAGATTAATTTTGAATACTGTTTATTTAACATCTATTCTTTTGTACAGCCAAACATTTAGATTATGTGCCGTTTTTAGGCTTAACATTATGTTTATGTAGGCTTTCCAATGTGTCATTTCTAATCTCAGAGCTTTTAGTTCCCATAAAGGGGTAAAATAAAAGTCGGAAGTATTTTGGTATATTTGTTTGTCTCCTAATATACAATCGCACACGTTTCCACGGAACTACCCAATTTCGCGTTGTCTAATAAAAGAGTACAGCGGTAGCACGGGGGGTTTGGTGAAATAAAATATTGCGTCGAATTGAGAACCTCCTCCTTTTTTGAAGTCGGTTAAAATAATATTTCTAACATGTGTAAAACCCGGAGTGTAGATTTACCTCACCGTGCGTCACGCCTTTCCCTAATATTCCAATGCCGTAATGTACTGACATACTCAGTCCTGTATAAAAAACACTGAACGGTCGATCGGAGAACACCTGATATAAAGGGGGATGCCCGTCAGGCCCACTTTTGGGGTATCTCAGTAGAGATCCATCCAAGCCTCTATCAGGCTTTAATTTACATAGCCGCAAGGGAAATACCATTTTTAGGCCCTTACTATTGAGGTCCCTGGCGGTCTATGATGGCCTAAGGCGTCTTTTTCGGCACGATGCTCTTTTGCTCTGTCAATTGACAAATCAGTGTTATTAATCACAGTTTTGAGGATACGTTAGCTAGTCCACAAACACAATTTCACCTATTTATTCTAAATAAATAACAAACATACCGACTACTTCCGCGTAATGTCCCGCTAAAGATATGTGGATATATACAAATAAATACGACCCTCCTCAATATTTATGATTCTACCCGCCGCTGTACATATCTCCTTTTTCCCGAAGAATCGATACACTTGTCTACCCAATTTTGTTTTACAAAAACGACAGAAAACATATTTTTTTAACCGCAATCTAACTTTAAAATATATACAAATCAAGGCATTTATCCTACTAATCTACATCTGTTTGCCATAAAAAAATAAAACCGAAAGTGCGTTTCCTGTCTACCGAAAGGAGCAGGTACTGTTTACAGACAACCCAAAGCTTTACAATTCGGCCCTTTGGCCATAAATCTAAATGACTTAATTTATTACTTGAGAGCGTTGACCGACTTTACAACAAATAATATTTATGACAACAACATCACTATCGATTCTCTAAATAGTATAATTTAGCACAATATAAAAACCCTATAATTTTTCCCACAATAAAAGTTTATCAATGAATACCAAAAATACTTGGCGCAAGTTCGTCGGGTCAGCCTGAAGGGTGACGAAATCCACTACGAACGTCGCCTAGAGTAGTACTTTTAATAATTTAGTAACATTTTATAATGTTGAATCGGAGATATAAAATATCTGGCGTTTAATTAGACTAGCGTGGTATCACCAGTATTAGTTACGCCAATATTTTAGTCGCTCGGTAGATACAACCTTACAAAACAGTTCTAGGAGCGAAATCTGGTCCTATTCAACGTGTATCTGCTTGGTCAACCTAACTATATATCTCCTTTTACTTATATATAAAATATAAGAAAAAGGTGGTCATCCTAAGGACAACTGGATATCTATGCAGAACCCGTAGTTTATAGAAACTAATTTCTCTACTCCGTCGATATCTTTTATTTCCGTTGTCAAAATATAACAAAAGCACGGCCACCGTAAGGGTGGCGATATCACTTTTTAATTATATTTGAAGAATATAAAGAAAAAGGAGTCACCGTTGCGGTAACGTGGATATTTGCGTTTTTTGTTAACTTGACTCGCCGAAGATGAAAAAGCTAATCCCCAGCCCTCAAAAACCCCGGTATTTATACTTAAATTTCTCATATATGCAAATGTATCAGACAGAGAATGACTGTGACTTCGGTGTATAACTCAGAGTAAGTATTATCTAAGGTGTATAAAGACTATAAAGCCCTGTATTAATTCCTGAATATAACCCTATCGTCTTACATCTGTTTTGTTCTAGCGACCGTTAGAGTTTACGCGTAGATATTTCTTTTCCCAGAAGTAATTAAACGGCGCCTACTAGGCGGGATACGCTGGGATGTTGTTTGAATTCGTAATAAAAATTTGAATATAATATATGTAATATATAGGAATTATTTAAATTAATTATCAACACCCGGTTGTCGGATTTCACTACTGCAACTTTTTGAGTATTGCGAAATAACCCTATTATATTATCATCGAGATAGAATGAAGTAGAGACGATATAAACACTATTTTGCGATATTATAGATTAACGCACTTAACGATGCCAAGATTGACGGAAAAATGTAATCAAAATGGTGATCTAGAGTCGTACTTTGATTTATTTAAAGTCAATAAATTTATATTTGAAGCTTGACGAAATAAAAATGTTTTTATGCCATTTAAATGTCCCTATTTTAAAAAAAAATGTATTCTCACAAAACTGCTGAGCACCACTAGCTCGAGTTTGACACCTGACGTAAAAGTGTAATGGAAAGGTGCAGATAGTTTTAGCCGAGAATACCGATCAAGGAGAAGCGACAGTAGCTGTCGGTGCCTTTGATATCGGATGTACCTTTTTCACAGCATGACTTTGATTGATACACAACTTAGCACGCTGAGAAAACATACTTATTTTCTACACTGAGCGAAATAGTTTGGCAAATTATCTGAAATTATTGTTATAGTCCATGCGCAAATGTTGCAATGTGATTTAATTACATTGAAGT